GCCAGTCGGCGCCTGAGTCGCCCCCACCCAGAACAGAATGAATCTTTGTAGGGGAAGCTCCGATCCACTGCCACCGATCTGCACGACTAGTTACCATGCTACCTTCACACCCATAGTGGCGCAGCCACCGCCGATAGCCCCTGGGGTTGCCGCCCTAGCACCTAGGCTCTGCCATCATGCAAGGCGCTCAGGGCGCCGCCACACACCGGAGGACCCCTCGCCGAGGAAGGACGCAAGCCCGCCACCGTGGTCCACCGGCCGAGCTTTGCTCATGCATGGGGCAAGTTCAATGCTCATTTCCCACACATTATCTCAGGGATGTAACCCTATGTGCCTGCGGACATGCACTCCTCTGGGTGTGCTCCTCTAAGCTTCCATGCATGCGCCATTTTGACATGTCATACTATAAACATCTCTAAATCTCTACTTCAAAGGACAACTTAGCCCCCAATGTATGCTTTCGTGGTAATGACATGTAACTAGGGGACCAATGAAATTCATGAGTTATATTAGGTATTTGTCACATGGTTATAAAAATATGGCTTGGGACTCACTAAGAAAAAATAAAAATAAAATAAAATGGTCCATTTTATTTGTACATATTTTTCTTATGCTTGAGTTGTAGGAAAGTACTGTTGCATTCACCTCAAAGCTTCCAATGTTGTGCATTTGCTGCGAGAAGTTTGTGAAAGTTGGCAACTCACCTCAAGATCTACTTTTTAGTGAGTAAGCTCCAAATTTGTTTTCCAAGCTCAAGGAGAAGAAGGCGAGGCATTGCCCCCCACCCCGAGTATAAATTTAGGATACATCATCTCTTTTTGTGCCTTTGGTTACGTTGTTCCTGAGCTTTAATAACTGCTTTGACTGCAGCTCTTGGTTCCTTGGGTACATATTTTGCTGATTAATAGATGGCCTAACAACAACGAGCATGGACAAAATGATGTGTTAACTTAATCCAGCTTACTAATCTTATGCATTAGCTGGAACATACTGCTACTTAGGATTAAGCACTAAAATCATCACAAATGGACCAAAAGAAATATCAAATCCGTCACAAAAATAACCAAAATTGCAGATTCATCAAAAGTTTTGCAGAACTGATATTCATTGTACCGAGAAATGATTCATCAACATATCAATGGGCAAAAGTACCCCGCATGATGTTTGCTACATTTTTAGTCCAAGGTGTAATATGGTCTCACACTCATAAACTAAGAACATAAAAAAACATCCTGATCTCAGAGGATAAGAGAATCACAATCTTTTGAACAAATACATCCTTTTTATTTGTACAATCACGAGGATTTTTTTTGCTGATAGATTCATATACCATATGTAAAACCCACACAAATAAGATCAAAAATTTGGGCCAACAAAAATAATAAATGAAAATCCACAAACGCAAGTACCTTTCCATAGAGGAGTATGCTGGATAGAACGATCCATCATAAATTACCCAATTGTTTTTTAAAAAGTTGTCACAATCTAAAAAATCACCCCAAATCTCAAGCAATGCAATAGGAAAACCAAAAATACACATACAAATCCAGTGGAAAGTCCCGACCATATCCAATCAGATCAAGAAAACATGGCAAACAAGAAGCAGGAGCAAAGTTTCGGACGAGACTTGCCTGCTCCCCGCGTGTGTGCCCATCCGTGCTCCCGCATATGTGGCATGATTTGATTGGAACAAAATAAGGCCCGACCCCACCCCCTTAAAATCAGAGGGGAGATGATTAGATTAGAAAGGAAAAATAAAAAAAGACAACCGTAGGATGAAGTGGGAGCATGGATGGGAGCATGGGGATGGAGCAGGCAAGCTGGAGGAGGCAGAAGTTTCCTTGGAGGAAATCATCAGCAAGTGGCAAGACATTAACCCAGATCGATCTCGTCTCCTCCCCTCATCCCGATCTGGATGCAGATCACTTTTAATGCACTTGAAAAGGTTGCTGGAGACTTACATCCCCAAACTCGACATTGCCGGCGGTGTCAACCGAGATGAGCGAGCAAAGACAGGAGCGGAGGAGAAATAAATGACGAGAAAAAAAGTTGATGTATGTGGTGCACATGAATCCGGACGAGGTAATTCACCAACATGGGCCAAGTGTATACGGTAACGTTGTTCAAAATTGTTGTATTCTAATCATGTATTGCCATAGTAAATCATATTGTCCAGATCACAGTGAGCAAACACATGTCCGGATACCTAGCATCAGGTAGCTCATCCTCCAAAATGCCCCTCTCCATATTGCCCATATTAGTCAAGATATCATGCCAAAGGCTGGTCATATTGTCCCATATATCGGTCTATATCAGTCGATATGTGCGAAATTAATTTATGATATGACATACTAAATCGGTATTAGTAGGATGTTAAATGGATATATTGGTTGATATATCAGTCACATCGGCCTATATTGATAACCGTGAGTGATGCTATTGCAATACCTACCGAGTGTACGTTGTCAGGTCATAAAATACAATGACTTGACCATAGAAAATTCAATAAACGAGCAATACCAAGTATTCAAGGACAAGCCCTTGTAAGTACACCTCATACACTCTATATTTTTTATCCACTCACACCTAAGATAGAAAGTGCTTTACTCTTTTATTTTGTGGACGAGACAAAATCTTATTTTAGAAACCTCTTGCATGATATTTTTACTATCTCATTCATGATATTTGTTAGATAAAAGCATATTCTAGAAACCTCTCTAATGCCTTTTTTTAGTATTCTTTCATGATATTTGTTGGAGAAAAATTAGAGTTCTTCCCAAGATATTTAAACATGCTAAATGAAAGCAAATCAAACACATATTTATATACACTACAATTCACCCAAGTGGCAGAAACTAATCCATGGAGGAATGTGATTTTGTGATTCTTTTATTTATTTTTAGAATCTAGGAGAACATGATTTGAAGAATGGTTTCGAGGGGCAATGTCTCAGAAAGAATTGGCAGATGTAATTATCCTTGGAAAATATGACTTAAAGTTAGTGTTAACTATGTGCGTAATGATGGATCCATTAAAGTTGTATGATAAAGTGTGTCTTACCTATCCAAGGTGGTTACTTTTTTGCTAAGTTTAATAGAAAAATATAATAGTTAAACTAGCATGTTGATAGAATAAGTTATAAAGAAGTAAAAAATGTGATTAACTTTGCTGAGTGTAATAGAAAAATATACTAATCAAACTAGTATGTTGATAGAATGAGTTATAAAAAAGTAAAAAATTTAATTAATTTTGCTATGTGTAACAGGAAAGTATCCTAGTGAATATCGTGCATTGATAGAATGAGTTATAAGTAAATACAATATATAACTAATTTTGCTAAGTTTAATGAAGAAATATAAATGTTAAATTTTATCGTGCATTGACAACCCATTGGTTTAATGAAGCAATGTGGAATTATCAACCAATGGGCTTATTTCATGGGGGTGATCACTTATATTCGTTAGTGGAAATTTGTAATGGGAAATCGCAAGCCCATAATGCCCATGTGCTATGTGCTAAGCTTAAACATCATAACTATGACCTAAAATGTTCGAGAAAATCTATATCCCATCCAGACATGCCCCATTTAGAATTGCAATAAAGTCTAGAGC